TCAAGTAATATCCATCAAGTTCATTCCTATCTCTATATCGCTAATCTGATATAATCAGAAGTCTATGTAATCAAGATCTGATTTTTGCATTTGTCTTTGCGTTTACATAAATACTATTTGAATTTATTTATGAATTCCAACCACAAATGTAAACGTGTGAAGATGCAATCATGAATGTGTTAATATAATTTGGATCCTAAATCTTGACATTAATTCGAAAATTACTTATAAAGGTTTACAAACTAAGAGACTTACATTCATTTTTTGCCGCGGCAAGTTTTACTATGATCAAATTACACCTTTTTAATGTTATTTTCGCTTTTAACCAAAAGGATAAATTAAGTATATTATTATCACTGTTATGAGGAAGATGAATATACAGGGAAGAAAATCATAGAAGAGGCGAGCACATGAATACCTAGAAAAAGGGTTTACCATTTCTTTCCAAGATACACATCTACTAGTGATCTACATGACAGTCCAAATTGATCAGGGTCAAATTCGGTCGTCATATCGAATAGTCGATCCAAAAGGTTAGACTCAAGAGACAACAGTTCATGAAGATCTACACTTATTCTACTCAATAAGACATAATTAATTTAAAGGCATCCATGGCTTTATTTTTCCTTAATCACTACAAACATGTGCTTAAGGATAGTATTATATATATAGGCTCCAGTTTAAACTACATGATTAAAAGTATGGTATAAAAATGTATATTCTAGCCAGAACATTAGTCGTATGCTATATATTATATATATTAGGTTGCTACATGGTATGAATTTAAAAACAACAAAAAATTCAGTTTCGTGATTTTTTGTTTCAATTATAAATACCCTAAATACTTAAAAGGAGCAAACTCACACACTAATTAAGATCCAACAAGAACTAATTTACCAAGAGAACAAGATATAAAATCTATAATGTACAATTCTTTTGATAATCAGAGTATTGAAACAAATGTATAACATCTATAAATATTTCATATAGTGATCGATGTATATATGATGTTACAGAAAAATGTATATTCATACACACTTGCAAGTTGCATCTAGCCAAACCGAACTAGGGTTTTCTGGTGTGTGCGCTGTATACTCTCTAGCTAGGGTTTACAGTGTATATAGTTAACCGAACAGAAAATACGTTCGTCATATGAAAACCGCAACTAGGAAAAAAGTGAGTATCTATTCAAATGTTTAATTTAGATAATCATATATATAGTTGTGGCGTATGTATAAAACTGAAGTCGCTTACTACAAGATCTATTTCAAATGCATACATATTTTAGAATTGTAGATAGATCATAAACGTAGTTATTAATTGAAAATATAGAGAAACTATAGAGTGAAATAAATGCTTACCATTAATTAATCCCAC